GAAAAACCCAAATCGTACTGAAAGACCGTAATAATTCAGGGTCGATAAATAATATTAGATCGTAGTAATATATTGAAAAATTTTGTTCATTGTGATCCCCGCGATGCAGGGAAGAATATAAGAACATCAGTTCGACATAGTATATTGATAATGTGAACGTCGAATATATTCATGTAGCATATATAAACCTCATTCCGTGTACATGAACAACGTATTTCAGGGACAATAAATATTGCTTCGTTGTGTATTAAAAATTGTGTTCATATCTGCGGTACGCAGAATAATATAAGTCCATAAGATCGATGTATTGAAGGAATGAATGTCGAATATTTTGAAGGTTCATATGTAATCTCCGAAACATATCGGAGGTTCATAATATTTCAGGATCGGTAAATATATGTTAGGTGATATTTATTTCCAAACAATACCATTATGATACCCACGGTGCGGAGAACAATTTAAGGACTTCAGATCGATTTGACACGTTGACAGAAGGAATGTCGAAAATTTTGAGTTGCTACATGTAAGCAAATAGATGCAACGGAGTAACATTTCACTATCGATAAATAACATTAAATGATTTACGTATAAAAAGATAGTGATCACTGTGTTCCCCGTGATGCGTAGAATAGTATAAGACAGTTTGAAATAATATATATCAAAATGAAATAATATATTGATACGGTGAATGTCGATAGTTTTCTAGGAGCATATGTAAATTTCATTCCACGTGACGGAAATCGGGAATATTTCAGGATCAATAAATAATATTATATGATGTTCATGTACAAGGTTGTTCATTGTGATGGCCACGATGCGCAAAATAATATAAGACTGTCAGATCGATATAACGTATTGACAGAATGAATTTCGAAAAAAGTCGTCGGAACTGGATATAGGGACGAAAGACTAATCATGCCATATTGTAGTTGGTTCCCTACGAAGTTTCCTTCAGGTTTGCTGACTTTCGGCCGTGTCTCAATGAAAGGCGTGCGAGATCTGGTAAAATGAATGATTAAAACCCTTGAGAACGAAACGACCTCAACCTACTCTCAAACTCTAAATGGGTGAGATCTCTGGTTTGTTTGGAATATACCATTCGGGCTGACGTAAGTGTGTTCGTCGGGGTAACCCAAAATGACATGCAGACGCCGTCAGGAGATCAGGGAATAGTTTCCTATTCTGTACTAAGCTTTCGAGTTCACTGGAATCTAGCAGAGAGATTGGGTTCGGAACGCGAAGAACACCGTAGTTGCAACGACGTCCAGGTATCCCTTCGGTTAAAGTTCTAAAGAGGGACATGTGGCAGTATCGCGCCGGTTCGTACTCATATCTGCAGCAGCTCTCCAAGGTAAAGAGCCACTAGTCGATAGATTAATGTAGGTAAGGGTGTTCCAGAACGTGGAATGAGGTTTAAAAATTAGCATGCTGAACATTCAACATTCATTATATCAGTAC